GAACAGAAAGCCCACTAGGATGCCCAGCACAAGCTAAATAGACCCCTCCTTCTCCCGCCTTTGGTGGACACCTAGACTCCCAGCTGGGGCCTCTTGGTTTATGGGCTTTTGACACGAGTCCGAGTGCGCCTCAAAAACTCAAAGGGCAAATCCAATTCCGAAAGGCTTCGTTGAGCACGGAATGCTTTTCACTCGTCAAACTCCACTCTGACTCCTGCGCTGGCCAACGCCGGCAAAACACAATCCCACAATGCAGCGTAGAAGTCATCAGGCTCTCTGGCATCAGTCTGGCGCAAAGCTTTCAGAGCGTCCTTGGACAGCAGCTTGGAAGGCCTGACTGCAACTGGAGACATCATCCATGACTTGGTCATGGACTCCGCCTTCTGACGGTGCCTGTGCAGCACTGCGCTCGGCCCGAGACCAGAGCGCGCCGCCGTTGTCCGGCGGGAGACAAAGAAGCGCAGCTGCCCTTTGCCTCGCTTCCGGAAGTATTCTGACAGGACCTTCAGCAAGAAAGGCCACGACTCAGGCCGACCGTCCACCCCGTAGAAGCGAAGCAGCGCTGCCTCCACCAAGGGAGCGGTCCGCAGAGGTCGTCCGACAGAGTGCTTCTTCTCCAGGTAGCGCATGATGGAAACCGCTGATTCGCAGATTGCTTCTGACGCAAAGCCCCACACGTGCAATCTGTGAAAAAGCCTCAGCACATGCCAGTAATGTCTGGCTTGCGTGTAACTCTGCTGCACGATCAGACTATGCAGATGCTCATCCCATTTGAGAACCTCTGACTTCTGGAACTTCTCCGCCGCACAGGCGGCGCTCGAAATCCGGACGGCCACATTGCGAAACACAAGGAACTGCTCCTGCAGCTCTGGCTCAGATGGCTGTGCAAACATCTCCTCTGGCGGATTCACCAAATGTCGCACAGCGCCTGGCTGAAGACCCCAAAGGTATGGTCCGAAGGCTCTGGCAAGTTCGCGCAGGGCAGTCTTCCACAGCTCGTCGTGTGTCTGCAGACCATGCAGAAGTTGTCTGGCCAGGAACAAGTACGCAGCGCAACTGGAGAGCTGGCTCCTCTGACCTGGCTTCAAAGACTGACCTTTCGCGACATAGCAGGTGTTGCCGGCAATCATGTTTTGCCATAGACGGCGGTCCGAGGCCTGGCTGCTGGCAATGACAACCTTTTGCCCAACTCGCCTTAGAGAATTGGCTTCGCCTCTCCTAGCAGGCCCGTCTGACACCTCTGGCATGGATGGAAAAGCGAAGAGCGCGCGCGAAGACCCTGCAGCAAGCTGCTGCACGCCAGGGTCTTGCGCCCACTTATCAACTTTCAGCTCCAGCTCTTGCAGCTTTTTCACCTCGCCAGAAGAGCTTGCTCCCTTCGCCTCCTCCGTGCCTGATTCGCTTGATGAGGAGTTGTCGGAGTCGGAGGAGCTGCTGTCTTCAGTCTCAGAGGAGTCTGACCCCGGGCAGTCCAACTCCGGGCCGGCATCACTCTCAGGATCCTTTTGTCTGTGCATGCCTTTATGTGTCAAGAACCATTTTGGCATATTGGCGTCTGGCCACAAGCAGCGACATCGAAAGAAATGCGCCTCTTGCTTGGCCCACTGCTTCACTCTTTCCAGCGCGGCAACGGCTGTCTTGCAAATGTAGGTGCGTGTTTCTGCCTGACAGGGGGTACACAAGATGCGCGTGTGTCAAAGCAACAGGCTCTGCATCAAGCGTAGCGCTGGCACATTTGGAGGGGGCCCGCGACAAGCAATTGGGGGCGAGAAAAGGCTGTGAGGGTGATCTTGCGAAAGATGAGGGGTGTAAAGCTCCTTCCAGCAATCCTCCCTGACCGCACAGTAAACCTAAAATGTGTGCGTCTCAGCCTTTCCCAAGCTTCAGCAAAAAAACAAAAAACAATAGGGCCGGGGGGGGGCAACTTGTGACCCTGTGTGTGTGTGTCAAAGTCCATGGGTTGGGTTGGGGCAATTCGGTCTGGCCCTACAGATCGGCCCCGGCGCCTTCGTCTTGTGCTTGGGCGGTGCTCCGGGCTCCGACAGCGGCCAACGTTCATGTGGGCGAATACCCAAGGAGACTCCTTGAACAGTCCGGTAAAACATGAGCTCAGTCAGAAGTCTGACTGACCGCGGGTATCGTCTCCACGCCAGTCTGACAACCATCCAGCCACTGAACTGCGTGATGCACTGCTGGAAGTAACGCGCGGCCCACCTGTCCGTGTTGTCTGCAATCAGGAAAGACTCCAGCCGGCTCCAAAACCACACTGCGTTCTGTAAAGCTGCAAAAGTAACTCTGTCTTCGGACATGGCGAGGAGGGCCTCCACTGCCAGAGTAAACTTCACATTGTTGGGCATGGCGCTGCTCTGACCGTGGGCAGCAACAGCTAGCAAGTTCTGACGCCTGTGCTCATAATGAAAAGAGCAGAAAATGAGCATTGGGGCGTCTAGCAGGTCACGCCCGAACTGGCGCGCCTCCTTGGCGTCCGCAGTCTTCAGGCCACAAATCTTGCTAGGGTTTTTGGCTTTCCGGCGGGTGTTTTCGATGGCCTCTGTCTGGCAGAAAATCGCGCCGCTGTGCAGAACCGGCAAGTTCTGGAAGAGGTTCTGGCAGGCAGTGGCGCTTGCGCCATTCCATGTCTACACTCACAACAATGAGAATGAAGCTATGCCCTTGCGAGTCACAGAATCATGATCCAATGATGAGTTAAACACGCAGCTGCCCTCAACATCGTGCGGACAACACGCAGCTTCTCGATTTGTCACCCCAGCAGTCCTTTGGCACTCTGGCTGACGTGTAGGTAACCATCCGGGTTGATGCAGAGACCGGAGCCAGCAACCCCACCAAGGGAAGGCCTAGCCTCTTTGAGAGTGCCTGGGCGTGCGGGCTGCTCTGTGGCTGACGCACGAAAGTGCTCAAAGTAATCTCCTCCCCCTATTAATGAATGACCCCCATTAATAATAAATGCAAATCCGGGGCCCGAGACCAGATTTCCACTCCACACAATTGATTTTCCATTGCGCCAATACTACACCAATACTAAAGTCTGGGAATCCTTATTAGGGGGCACTTTTAGCAAGCTTCCAGCCTCACTTTTCAAAAGGTGGGTTCCTCAATTCCCCAAAAGGTTGCTTCCCCAAAAGCTGGCTTCTCAAAAGGTTGGGTTCTTTTGGTGGGTTCCCCCAAAGGTTGTTCTTGACTCTGTTGTCCCTGGCTGTCCCTGACTCCCTGGCTGGCTGCGTTTGTCACCTGGCTGCGGTCTGTAAACAAATAGAATGATACATCAAATTTCCTTATTAAACCGCTTACTTGCGGACCTTACAATTCAATCCATTTCCTCCAAATCCTATGTGAACCCTCACATTGTTGGAAAAGCAAAAAAACCAACCCCAAAAACCCAAATTAAAAAAAATACATGTTTGGGTGGGTTTATTTATAATAAGGGGGGGGTATTTTTTTTATTAGGGGGAACGGATTAGACACATCGCTCGGAAATTGCAAATTCAAGTGGGTCGGTTTTAGAGGTTGCTTTGATACGCTGAAGGCCATTCTCAAAAGCTAAATGCGCTGGGTTGATTTTGCAGCCAAGCCACTCGAATGACAATCTTGCCCTGCCCGAGTTGAAACAGCCTCCTTGCCTTCAAGGCAACAGCTTCCATCTGACGTAAAAAGCCAGGGCTCGCCTTGCTCTTCGATTTCTCTTGCGCGTCACTGTGAGCGCCACTTTTCTCGCAAGCGTGAAACCAGTCCAGCGAGCCCCACTCGCACAAGCTGCTGCGTTGCTCCAAAGACAATCTTCTGGCCAGAAGATTTCCGCATCCAGGTTGGCAGGTGTTGAACGGCCCTTCCAGCAAGCCATCGCCGGCAAAAACGGCAAACCTCAGCTGCAGCTCTGGCAATGTCATGCCAAACTTCTCGGTTGTGGCCAGTAAGTTGTCAACAAGCCGGGCTCCCGAATGCAAGTCCAAGAGCGGCGGGGCCGTAGGGCGATGTCTGGCCCTCTTGTCTGGCTCCAGAAGGGTGGCTAGGAGAGCATCCTCTTTTGGTGTATCTCTGCTGGCCACGTCCTTTGGTGGCAGAGGCGGCTCGGTCGTTTGGAGCGGGGTGGCATCAAGCAGTGACACTACTGGAGAGCCACAATTCGCGTACACCATCTGGATTTGCAGCGATTCGCCGTTTTTCAATGTTGCACCATCAACGGTAAAGGCCAGGTCTGACGGCAGCCTCAGCGCCTTCAAGTTCTGGTTCAAATTGTGCGCCACAAAAATGCGAGTAGCCTTGACAGCTTCTGCCACGATCCCTTTCGCGAATCTCTCAGAATGCTGTATCTGGCCGAACTCACCAGGCAGAGATGCGTCTAGCATGCTCAATACTTCTGTGTATGTGTGCACAGAGCCCTGGGAATTGAGGCAAAGGGCTAAGCTCGTAAGCCTGAGGCCTACAAGCCTCTCTTGGTCGTCTGGCCCCACAACATGGAGCCCCTTGTAAGGGCATCGCTGATTGGCATGCGACTTCGAATCCAAAATGCCACTGAAGCTGGTGCTAGCCATTGGTGTTGAGTCAGCGGAGCCAGCATCTGGCGCCAAGGGGTCCACTTCTTCTGGCAAGGTGGCCTCGATTGGGCTGTCAGGCTCCTTCCACTTCCTCTTCCGGCCTGCGCGGTTTGTAAAAGGTTTCGGGACACCTTGCTGGCGACGGCTCTCGGCCTGACGCTTCTCCACACAGCCACGGGAAAGACCGGTCGCCTTTGCCAGAAACCCGTTCATGCCAAGTCTGACTGTCCAGCCCAATATGCGACACACTTCTGGCACGTGCCCTTCAAAGGTGTCTGCTAGTCTCGCAAGCATTGCCTGCCCTTGCTGTGAAAGCTGGCCACCAGTGCCACGGTGAGCAACGCGGACTTTGGTGATCTTTGGCTCCAACAAAGGCAGCTCTTGTTCTGCAAGCCCCGGACCTGGGACATGAGCAGGTAGGGCTGGCAAGGCAGGAAGGCGTCGCAT